CAGGTGTCACAATTTGGTCTCCAACTGAAAGCTGTTTTTCAAGAGTCTTCCTTTGGGTGTTTGCAACATTAAATCCCTAATGGATGTTTTAAGCTGATAAACAGAAAAAGATCAGAATTACTTCTTCCAACCACTACTGTCATTCCTTAAAGATATCTTGTGAAATGGATTGAGATAGCCTCACAGTAGAAGTATTCATGGCACTTAGAAAGTGACCACAGTATACTTTTTCACATTTATTTTAGAAAACATTTTTTCGACTGCACATTAGAGACCAGCAGTAACTCCCTGATAAAGTCAGAATCATAAAAGCTAATGTTTTGCTGTGTTTGGTACGTCTGCTCTCTACCCTGCCTCACCACTAGATAGCACTGTAATCCTGCTGTTGTCTCTGTTCATTGGTGAAACTTGTTCTCATATTCAGTAGATACCATAGTTATGTCACATTAGGCCCATAACAGGACTGTCTCTTTAAAGTTTTGAAAACTTGAAAAATACAAAATATTTTCACAGTTTTAAACTTGACAGAAAAGTGTGCTGTTTTCCAGACTGCTGCTATCAATCAATCAATGTCAGAATTGTATAAGGTCAAAGCATACTCACTAAATATGGCCTGTGGACAGTGATGGAAAGTAACTAAGTGCATTTTCTGTACTGCATGAGCATTACCATTTTAATGCTATTGTGGAAATATTGTACTTTTATTATTACTATACATTTAATTGTATTTAATTACTTTGCAGATTATTAATACAAAATATAATGAAAAAGAGTATGTGTTATTTTATATTAAGCTACCCAGCAGTATATAAAGTGATGCTTACACATCAATGCATCAATAATTATATTCAATTATATAACAAAGGCCTATATTATTCTGAAATTGACCATTCTGCATAATGACTACTTTTACTTTAAATATATTTTGATACTAATACTTTAACTTAAGTAAGGTTTTGAATGCATTGTTTTTTACTTGTATCCGAGTTTTTTTACACTTGCTACATTTACTTTTACACCAAAACATCATCTGTCCACTGATTAGAGGCGCTGCCTGAAAGACCTCACTGAGGGAAACAGAGGCCCTCGTCTATCAAAGTCCATGCTGCTTTAAGTCAGCTGAGTCCAGGAAGTAAGTGACGGACTGGGAACGTTTAGAGCTGCTGCAGACTTTAGTGTTTGTCTCTGAGCAACAGTCAGCTCCAATGGAGGGAGAAGGTAACAAAGTCCGACTGTTTGGAGGTTTAAAGAGGTTTCCCACTGTTGTCTGTGTCTGCTGAGGAAAGTAACAGCCAGGACCATAAAGTCCTCAATGATCAATGGAAGTTTTTGCTGTTGTTGATTTCTGTTTTCTCTTATCTGTATAAATATCTGTGTGAGAGCTGCAGACTGTTGAACCCTGCAGCTGCTCTTTGTATTGATATATACTACAACAGTAATAACAGCTGTCAATACTCTGTAAGATTGAGCTGCAGACTGATGGATGTGTTTATGTGTCCAGTTTCAGAGCTCTCTGTGCGGGTCCCATGGGGAGAGATCAGAGGTAAAGTCTGGGGTCCTGACCACGGTCGTCCTGTGCTGTGCCTGCATGGCTGGGCTGACAACTGTGGTACATTCAAGACCCTCATTCCCCTTCTACCCAAAGGTAATCCACTGTTGGCGAGTATGTAATGAGACACTCAGGAAACAAAACTGACTTTGTTTTATGGGTTTTTATTTCATTAAATAATTTACTGGAAACAGTTTTGTGATTTGGTATTAGCTTTAGGTAAAATGGAGACAATGTTAAATCAGATATTAAAGTTTCCAGTAATAAATGTATGATTAAAATGATTCATATTAAACTGATCTGCTTTTCTTTCAAATTCTTATGAACTCAACTGATCTAATTAAACTTAACTATAATGTCTCTATTTTACCAATGAGTCCCAAATAAGATATCTCAATGCAAGAAACTTCTTTGGAAATTACTTTAAAGAAACCCGTATCATAAATGGTTACCTGTGATTATAATGTGTGTATGTTTGGCATTAGGTGTCACTTCCTGTGTTCTGTGAGTGTTTTACTCATCTCTCTCTCTGTCCTTCCTCTCAGAGTGCAGATACATGGCGGTGGACCTGGCAGGTCACGGCCTGTCGTCACATCGTCCTCCCGGAGTTTTCTACTCGTTTCCTGCGTACGTGGCTGATGTTCGCAGAGTCGTTGACGGTGTGTGAGTCTCTAAAGTTGCAGAATCATATTTATCTGTGTGTTTAAACCGTGGTTTTTGACGTCTTCTCCCTCATGTTCCTTCATACCTACGATTAAACCACAGTTGGACGTTTGGCAACTAAAAACCTTCTCAGTGTTCTGTGATGAGATACTGAACCTGCCTGTTTGATGATCTGTGAAATTAACTCCCACAGCTCTGCAGCTGGAGAAATTCTCCATCATCGGCCACAGCATGGGTGAGTGCAGCTTTACAGAAGAATTTATCTTAATCTATGATGTGCGTTACGAAGTAATTTAAAGTGCAAATCACATCAGAGCTTCTTTTTACTTACAGGTGGTGACGTTGCTGGAATGGTAAGATGGATCTTATGTGTCTGTTTCCTCTCTTTCACACAATATACAGAGACTGTTGTGCTTTTATATGTGGTATCATCATGTGGTCCAATTTGTGTTTTTCCACAGTTCACTGCACTGTATCCTGAGATGGTGGACGCTCTTATACTTCTGGACACTTTTGGATTTGTACCTACAGATTCAGTACGAACCATGTAGAGCTTTGATAGTTTGTGTGGTTAAATGCTATTTTATTTATTCAACTGTGGTTTTCTGTAAGTTATGTAAAGGTATAAATGTTGTTTCAAGGAAGGATTCATTTATTGTGTAGTCAAATTAAATATATTAATATAAAAATCCTAGAATTATGCCTTTTATCCCACCATTTGTAATTTGTACAGCTCCCTTCAGGTTGATAAATCTCTCCAGAAATATAGAGAGAACATGGCCCTCAGTGATAGCTACAGTTAGTGCATGTATCATATCATTTTATTATTAGATACTGTACTCATTATAATGTATTAGCAGGTTTTTATTCAACCGGAAGGCTTTCAAGGAAATTGGTGAAAATGATTCCTGCAGTATTATTGCAGTTTGCTTCAGTTGTCTTCATTTTAATCTTTTAATCCTTCCTTTTTCACAGTCACATACTGTTCTCATATCAGGACTGTTTTTTCCTCTCCTGTCAGTAGTTTTTGACTTCCTCACCTCATTGTTTTTGTCTCTGTTCCTGCAGACAGAAATATCCAAAGTGATGAGGCATGGGATGGAAGAGATGTGTCAGTTTGAGAATAAGAAAGAAAAGAAAACAAGAGTTTACTCTTATGAGAAGGCAGTAGAGAGGTATGATACCGTTCCAGCTGCTGGTCAAACTAAATCCTATTTCTAGTCACTCTGTCTCTATAATCAGCAGTTGGCTAAAGTGTTTTATTCGTTTCAGGCTGTTGACTGCGAACCCGACTCTGTCTGAAGAGTCTGTGCACATCCTTTTAGAGCGAGGTCTAGTTCAAGTTGATAGAGGTACGTCTTTATCTCTTCTTCTCCTCTCGCAGAGGAATAATCTCTCTTGGCCTTCAGCTGAATGTATTTCTCTTCGGCAGGATTTGTGTTCTCCAGAGACCTGCGAGTTCATTTTGTAAGTCACTTTTAACCTCCCAAACCTTCCCCCACATTCACCACCTCCTCTCTGTTAACTTATATCATTCAGCTTGTGCACTACATGTGTGTGTTTTTTATTTTATGTTTTCAGAAAAACATAGTGTGCATCAGTTTGGAGCAGAGTCTGGAGATGCAGTCAAGGATTCAAGCTCCTGTTCTAGTTATTCTGTAAGATATTCACCATTATGCTGCAACTGATGTTTGCATTACAGTGTTATGACAATGTGACAGCAGGCAGATATATTTATTTATAGTTAAAAATCTTGTTTTTCAGAGCAGAAGAAGGCGTCAGTAGAAAACTTTCTGAACCAGCTCCGGATAAATTCACCTCAACACTTCTCCAATGTTTGCAGGACGAAAAAGTGAGTTTGCACCTGGAACAGAATGAAAATTAAGAATGTTTGAAGTGATTTGTTGCGATAATTTAACCATCTTAGAGGTTATTGATTCTGTGTATGTGCAGTTAATGATCCCCTATCTGTTTCTGTTAGTTTCAGCACACGGTGGTGAAAGTACCGGGCGATCATCACATTCATCTGAATAAGCCCGAAGTCGTCGCTCCGTTTGTGTCCAACTTCCTGCTACTAAAAGTTGTATAAAATTTGACTCAAAGTGATGTCACCTTTTGGAACAAAATAAAGATTAAAAATTTTAAAAATTAATTTTCTAGTAACTCCCTGTCCGTCTATAAACAGCCCTGTTGGCTAAAGTGTTTTATTACGTTTCAGAGGCTGTTGGCCTGCAAACCCCGACCCCTGGTCTGAAGAGTCCCTGTGGCACATCCTTTTGAAGATAGGTCCTAGTTCAAAGTTGATGGGAGGCTACGTCTTTATTCTTCTTCTCCCCTCCCTCCTCCACAGAGATAATTGTCTCTTTGGCCCTTCATTTCATCTGCTGGCGCTGAATGTGCTTTCCTCCCTTATGCAGGATTTGTGTTCTCCCCCAGAGATGGTAATTTTGTACAGTCACTTTTTAATAAAAACCTTCCCACTTCACCACCCTCCTCTCTGTTTACCTTATAGGCAATTCAGATTGGCAGTACGTTGTGTGTTTTTATTTCATGTTTTCCCCAGAAAAACATAGCTCGCGCATCAAGTTGGAGCAGAGTGCTGGAGACTGCAGTCGAGGATTAAAGCTCCCTGTTCTAAGTTGTTCTGTAATAGATATTGCACCCAAATTATGCTGGCAACTGACGTTTGGCATTACAGTTTAAAGGTATTACTTTACTTATCCAGACATGTCAGTCGCGCAGGTCCTCTCTTGTGGGCTTTCTAAATCCAACAAATTTAATGTGCCTTCCATCATAGTCTACTAAGTCATACTAAGCCTGTTTTAGAAAATGCTCCTGTTTCTCGCAAGGCAGACCAAAGGGCTTATGGTGCAAAACTTCAGAAATCATCATCGAACAGAATACTTACCTCCACCCACTGATCTCCCCAGGGCTATCGAGACGAAATGTAGAAGTTTAATGTTGGGCGAATAAAAGTTGATTGTGATGAAAAAATTTACGACCTAATGAACTGTAATTCAACGTGTGTTTTGGGTGTGTCGTTAACAAACCTGCACTCACCCCTGCCACCAAAGTATGGGCTAAACCAAGTGATTTTAGTGTTTAAATATTTGTCCATGAAATATTCGGGGCACTTTCTTGTAGTGCCCTCGAACACTGAGTGGCATTAAGGTAATGTGAGATTACCCAAACCCAGGAGTGGCCCCCAACCGCAATTTTGAGTTTGAGCCGCCAAGTTCTGACAAGACAGTGGAAACGTGCACAGTAATAATAGTCGGTGAAAATAAATAAATAATAAACAGATCCGGGTTCTATATCTGTGTAGGGATCTAACAGCGGCAGACGTATGAAGGGCAAAACGAACACATGGAGAAGTGAAACCCTAGTTGTCTTATGAAAATCACGGAAACCAAAAGAATGGACAGACAACAAACACCAAAAGACAACTTTACTTTGATTTTAACTATATGTTTCCATCCTCCAATTCCTCTCACTCCTCACACTCTCTCTTATCTTCAACTCTTCGTCCTCTCCTCAGCACAATTCCCCTTCTACCCAAAGGTAAAGTATTTTTGATGTGTGTGTGATTGCACCCTAATTTTAACAAGACTAAAGCTGTGTCCCCAAAATCTACACTACATACTGACTGTATGCAGGTTTTTTGTGAAAGTGACAAAATAAAGTATATTCAAACTAGACAGCAGATATACTAAATAGGATTGGCTTTTGAGTGTGCTGTCACTGAACACTATTCTCCCACAATACCTTGCACAAAAGAAACAAAGGAGCTGCTTACTGCTGCAGAAGAATTAAGATAAATTTTGTGGTTTTCAGACAGCTCCAAAATAGTTTCCTGTTTGCATAAAATAATAAAATATTGTTAATATTTTTGTAAACTGACTGATAAAAACAGTTTACTATGAGGATTTGGGACAGAGGTTAAGAGTCGTGCTTTTAGCTAAATGCTAACCATTTGCTCCAGCAATGATAACCATGTGATGTTTAGCAGGTATCATTCTTCTCAATGTTTCAACCTCTTAGTTTTCAGGTCGTCTCCACATGGCTAACATTTGTGCTAAAAAATTAAAGCAACTAAAAAAAGACACAAAAGTGGCAGCCTGAGGCTCATGGGAACGTCATTAGTTTCGTAGGTATTTAGGTCGTAAACCAACATGCTAGACAAATTGATATTTTGACCAGATGATGGCACCAGAGGATCACCAAAGTTATCAGGATTCATCATCTGGGAACCGTTAATGTTCGTACAAAATCAGGAATCCATCCAAAAGGTTTTGGAGTTATTTTAGTCTGGAGCGAAGTGGTGGACCAACCAGACAAAACCAACCAACACAAAAAACAAATAATATTCCAGTGGTAGAGACACAGGACTGAGGCCTGTTGAGGTTACCACTCTGTGGATCATCTCTCTCTCTGCTTTCCTCTCAGAGTGCAGATACGTGGCGGTGGACCTGGCAGGTCACGGCCTGTCATCACATCGTCCTCCTGGAGTTTTCTACTCGTTTCCTGCATATGTGGCTGATGTTCGTAGAATTGTTGAAGGTGTGACAGTTCAGGAGGTTGGGGGATCTTTTCAGCAATTTTCACTCATATCTCTTTTAGGCGAGAGGTTGGATCTCTTCAGGACTTCTGTGACAGTTAAATCAGAGCTGCTATGACGTACAGCAGGAAGTGAAACTAGATTTAATCAGATGTTTCCTCTGAAATAACTCCCACAGGTCTGCAGTGGACAAAGTTCTCCGTCATAGGCCACAGTATGGGTGAGTCCCACACTGTGAAGAAAATCAAAAAATAATACACCTGATTCAAATGTAACAGCACAGACACTGTGTATTTTCACTTCTACCATAAACTCCAAGGTGCAGGTACAACTGAATACATTTGCCACTGAGGTGCAGTTATGTGTGTAAAGTGATCAATCAAAGGATGCTGGAAAAATAAGTGATTTAATTGATCATTAAAGCAAAAGTTAATCACCAACTTTTTTGGTAACTGATTAAGTATATAAGTCACTTAGTTCCAACTTTTCAAATGTGAAGATTTGCTGCTTTTTTTTTTGCATTTATGTTGTTGCAAAATAGAAAATCTTTGGGTTTCAGACTGTTGTTCAGACAAAACAAAGAATTAAAAGACTAATTATAAGACTACTAAAATTATGAACAGATTAATCATTGATGGAAGTGTAATAATTGTTAGTTACAGTCCTACAGTCAAAGCCAGAATCTATTTGAAAGTAAGTCCGTAACAATAAATAAACTTTGACCAAAGCTTATAGAGTGATTGTTTGTTCACTTTCTTACAGGCGCTAACATCGCTGCACTGGTAACTAAGATTAATCACATGCAATTTATCAGAATATTTTGCTCTATTTTCTTGCATTGTATTATGTTTTGTCCATATTGTGTTTTCCACAGTTCAGCGCGTTGTATCCTGACATGGTGGAAGCTGTCATACTGCTGGATGCTTTTGGATTCTTACCTACAGATCCAGTACTTAACTTAGTTTTTATTATCACTGTACTGCATATGACAAGCCTTTAAAGGGAAGATGATCTAATTGTAAGAGAGGCCATTGAAGTGAAGAAAAAAAATAATTGCTGTCGTATTATTCCTCAGTTATCTCCATGTTCCACTCCTGTCAGTAGTTTTTGACTTTCTCGCCTCATTGTTTCTGTTTCTGTCTCTTTAACTGCAGAAAGAAATACCCAAAGTGATGAGGCAGGGGATGGAGGAGATGCTTCAGTATGAAAAAAAGACAGAAGAGAAGAAAAGAGTTTACACGTTTGAGAAGGCAGCTGAGAGGTATTAAACCTCCCCACTTTATGGTCAACTCAAGTTGAATAAGCCGTCATTCATGTGGGAGGTTTTGACTTGAGTTTAAAGGGGAAATCCACAGATTTTACACATTAAAGTCTGTTTACAGGTGAACCCAAAACCGTTAAGAAAGAGAAAAACTCCAAAATTCAGTCCCGCATAGTTCACAGTCCTTTATAATGTTTTCAACAACTACTTTATCACATGTATAAGGTGTTTAGAGATAAATCACTTAATTTACTTTACACGGACTTTAAGTACTACTAAAAGTTGTATAAATTGACTCAAGTGATGTCACTTGGAACAAAATAAAGATTAAAAAATTTAAAATTAGATTTCTAGTAACTCTGTCTCTATAATCAGCTGTTGGCTAAAGTGTTTTATTCGTTTCAGGCTGTTGGCTGCAAACCCGACTCTGTCTGAAGAGTCTGTGCACATCCTTTTAGAGCGAGGTCTAGTTCAAGTTGATGGAGGTACGTCTTTATCTCTTCTTCTCCTCCTCTCACAGAGGAATAATTTCTCTTTGCCTTCATTTCATCTGCTGGCAGCTGAATGTGTTTCTCTTCTGCAGGATTTGTGTTCTCCAGAGACCTGCGACTTAATTTTGTAAGTCACTTTTAACCTCCCAAACCTTCCCCCACATTCACCACCTCCTCTCTGTTAACTTATAGCATTCAGATTGTGCAGTACGTGTGTGTTTTTTATTTTATGTTTTCAGAAAAACATAGTGCGCATCAGTTTGGAGCAGAGTCTGGAGATGCAGTCGAGGATTAAAGCTCCTGTTCTAGTTGTTCTGTAAGATATTCACCATTATGCTGCAACTGACGTTTGCATTACAGTGTTAAAGCGTATTACTTTTACATTATAGACATGTCAGTCCCAGGTCCTCTTGTGCTTTCTAATCCAACAATTTAATGTGCCTTCATACTAGTCTACTAAGTCATACTAAGCCTGTTTAAAATCTCTGTTTCTCCAGAGCAGACAAAGGCTTTGGTGCAAAACTTCCAGAATCATATCGACAGATACTTACCTCCACACTTCTCCAGGGCTATCGAGACAGAAATGTGAGTTTGAATGTTGGCGATAAAAGTTTATTGTGATGATTTAACCTATAACTGTATTCACTGTGTTTGGTGTGTGTAACAAACCTGACTCACCCTGCACCAAAGTATGGAGGCTAAAACAAGTGATTTTAGTGTTTTAAATATTTTCATAATATTGCACTTTCTTGTAGTCCTTGAACACTGAAGTGGCCAATTAGTAATTGAGATTACAAAACCAGGAGTGGCCCCAACCCAATTTGAGTTTGAGACCCCAGTTCTGACCAGACAGTGGAAACAGTGCACAGATATAATATGTGAAAATAAATAAATAATAAACAGATCGGGTTCTATATCTGTGGTAGGGATACTAACCAGCAGAGTAATGAAGGCAAAACGACACATGAGAGAAGTGAACTAGTTGTTTATAAATAGAACAAAGAATGACAGGACAACACAAAGACACTTTACTTTGATTTTAACTATATGTTCATCCTCATTCCTCTCACTCTCTCTCTCTTTCTCTCTCTCTCTCTCTCAGCACACGGTGGTGACAGTACCAGGTGATCATCACCGCTCCATCTGACATAATCCTGAAGTCGTCGCTCCTCTTGTTTTCTGACTTCCTGGCAGACCCCAAAAAAACAAGGGTTGATCTCAGCACCGCAAAGCCTGCCAGCATAGTGGAACCACACACCAACACCACACACACAGCACACACACACACACTCTCCGACACACCACACCACACACACCACACAACACACACACACACAGGGCACACACAGCACACCACCCCAACACACCAGCAGTGACACATTTTCCGTGCGAAATTTCACACACTTTGTACACTGTGCTCATCTCTCTCAGAGCAGTCGTTAACATATTCATGTTTTTCTGTCTTGATATGTTGATATTTGGACTGTACTATAAAGTTTTTATTGAAATTGCTGCTTTGAATTTACAGCAGTTACTAAAACTGTTTGCATTGTTTAATTGTGTTTAGTTGTCATCATTTCACAATAATGATAGCAGGTGTTTACCATACCTTCCTGAGCAAAAAGTATCACTTGTTGTTTGTGATTAGTTGACTATGAAAACAGCCGGGACGTCGATGGAAATAGGAGTTCAATAATACTTATCTTTCCAAAGCCTAAGTTACAAAGTGTTTCAGTCTAGACATCAGATTAAAAACAACAAATTATAAAATGTAATCAGATGAATTAGATTATGTAAAAACCAGTTCCAGTAATGTTAGATAAATGAAAAGACAAGACTCTCTAGTTTTACCCCTGACAAACTGTGATATGTTGTATTTTATAAATATATTAAAAGTTGTCTACGATAACTAGATCTGATTCAAGGCAGCTTCAGCTTTCAGAACAGAATATACATGTAAAAAGCTCTAAACTGAATAAAATCCTACAGCGTTCAAGATCTTTATGTAACTTGTGGGGCTCATTCTGGTTTGAAGCTGATCAGTTTAACTCGGCTGCTTTTCATGAATCTCATGCTTGTGCAGAATGAGCTAAAAATGGCAGCTATTAAAAGAGATGACATCCTCTGACAACTTTTCATTATGTAGGCCAGCCTCTCTGTATTCGGCTTTTGTCTCGGAAACCAGCAAAATCTTTGTTCCACCCTTTTACTCAGGGGAGTGACTCCATAAAACACTGCAGCTGCTGTCAGTCAGGGCACATATGAGAGGTGCTGCTCACACAAAAATGGCCCCTCTCTCACTCTCTCTTTCTCTCTTTCTCTCAATGTCACATAAACTGTGTGATGGCCTTGGTGTTAAATGGAGTGGAATTGATTTTACGCAGCGAGCAGCAAGGCGGCAACATCCAGAGACATCTGAAGGGCTTGCCCCCCTCCCACTCCCACCACCCCAACTCCCTCCCACCACCCCAAAAAATAGATTATAGTTATATAAGTTTCCCTCCCACTCCCTCCATCCTCTCAGCCATCAGCAGGGGTGTTGTCATAGCAACCCCCACCCCTCCTTTTGAACGTCAGAGCCAAGCGCTGGAGGATGAAGCTGCATGCAGCTTCTGTCTCTTGTGCCTCTCAGAGAGCACCTGTGATTTTTGCCGTCTCACATGCAACAGTCGGAGCTGCAGCGCTGGAGATAATCTAATGATTGACTGGACTCGCAGCTGCTGCGCATCACATACCAGCAAACACAGAAAGACCGACTGATTCAGCAACGTCTCCCAGGTAAGCATGATGACTTTATTTACTACCACAGCTCTTTTGTTTTAGAAGGCAACACCTATGTGTGTGTGTGTGTGTGCATATTAAAAACTGTGTATGATAAAAGCATGTTGTCTGGCTGTGTAATGTCATGATTCCTGTGCCTGTGAATAATGGGATACTGAGATGCTGCAATTTGTCAGGCGTGATGTCTCACCCTGTAGAGAGCGAGTGTTTCCAAGGATTTAAATAACAGAGTAACTCTGCTCATCCACCCTTCCCCAAAAATCTCTCCTCCTTCCCTTTCCTTCCTCCGTCATGTCTTTTCTTCCCTCTCTCCTCATCCATTTTCTGCCCCGTCCTCGTCCACCCTTCCCATCCCTTCCCTCTGACAGCAGTTATGTCGTGGCTGTTCTTGGACTGGTTCGTCCCCCTCTACCTGCTGGTGTCAGTTTTGGTACTGGCAGGCTTCGGAGCGTGCCTGTACTTCCTAGAGCCCGGGCTGCAGGATGCCCACAAGTGGAGCAACAAAACAGTCCGGCATCACCCGCTGGTGGCCAGTGTGAACTGCAGAGATGACGATAGCAATGCCCTGATATGATCAAGAGGGCGAGGCGGAGTAGGGCGGCAGGCCATCTGGACAGGGGTGCTGCCAGGACACCAGTGGGATTGGAGCCAACACCTTAAAGATGGAGATGGGAAGGATGAGGAAGATGGAGGAGAGACCTGACCTATCATTCCAACTTTTCCCTCACCTCTACCGCACTTGCTGTAGAGATGAGGGAAAAGTGAAGCAGAAGAAAGAATTTATAAAAATGAAGCCAAATGCACAAGGAGGAAAAGACTACCTGCAGGTGATTGGAGGACATGTTGCCCTTTAGAAATGTGTTTGAAATGTAAATTTCACGCCATCTTATTATTGTGCCAACTTTTACATACGTTTTGTAATTCGACAATCACTTTACATATATCATGAAGTTTACTTATATTGTGCATTTAATTAGTGAAGTGCAATGAATCTGTTGCCAGCGGGGAGGGTTTTAATCCTCTCACTGGTGATGTCGGCATGGCAGCTGCTAAGGAGCATGTAGATTGTTTGTGCCGCTGTGCCAAAATGGTGTAGTAGTGACTTTATTAGAATAATATGTACTGAATGAATGCAACTGATTTATTCTAGGTGCCAAAATTATCCTGGATGGACCAAGATTACAGAAAAATTGTATTTGGTAATGCTCAAAGTGTCTATTTTTTTGTTTTCATTGTTTTTACTTGACAGCATGGTGAAGAAACAGGGTGTGTAACACCCCTCTTTTGATGATCATATGCTTCCTTTGTTCATACAAAATAAAACAGTTTAAGCCGCAATTCTCTGGATTTACTCTGTGTTATTCTGAAGTTGATTATATCTGAGTGAAATATTCAGTTTCTGCACCAGTGGTGGAGAGTAACTAAGTACATGTACTCAAGTAACTTCAGTATAGTTTTAATGTACGTGCACTTGAGTATTTCCAATGTATTATTTATTACTTTATTATTACATGTTATTTTATGTTATTTCACTACAATTATCTAGTGTACTGTAGCTCCTTGAAAAATGTTGATATTTTCCATTAAAAACATGAGAAGCTTATGAAAGACAAGACAAAACCCTTTACAAAGGATACTTGTCCAGTTAGGGACAGATTGTCATGTTTGAGATTGTCTAAGAGTTCTTACATGTTCTCATTCGAGTCTCATTCAAAGAAATAAAATTAATTCACAAAAACAGTCAGTCACAGGGCCCGAGCACTTTTACTGCAATTTTGCTGATAAAAAGTAAACATTTGTTTGCATTACTTTTACATGAAATGGAGAATTCTGCACTCATTTTTTTTTTTGTTTTGTTTTTACTTAAGTGAAGGGTCTGAGTACTTCTTCCACTGTTCTGCACTGTTATCAGACAGACTATAAGACCACACTGAGACTTCACAGACTGTGTCCCATGAACCAAACTAAATGAGAGACCAGAGTGGGAGTGAAACAGTGCAGCTTCAGTGTCGAAGCAATGCAGAGAATGGCACTTCTGTGCCCACTACTTCCTACTGCTGTGTTCCCCGTCTCGCCCTCTTTGATTTATTCACTCACTCAGTGTGTCAACAACAGAGACACAGCTTCACACAGCAGGTTAGTGTCTGTTTTCTTCTACTGTGACTTAACAAACTTTTGTAAAGATTTGTTATGCAGTGGAATTTACAGCATTAATGCAGAGCGTTCTTGTGGTTTCAGATTGTGTTTGAAATCTTGGTACATTAACTCAAGTTCTACAGTTTTGAGGTACTTGTATTTTACTTAAGTATTTTTATTTTAAGATACTTTATACTTCTACTCCATTACATGTCAGGGTTAAATATTGTACATTTAACTCCACTACATTTATTTTTATAGCTATGGTTGCTTGTTACTTTGCAGATTAAAACTTAAATAGAAAACACACTATGAAGTTGTAGATATGATGCATTGTTATGGATTAAATTTAGAAGAATTACAATCTAATGATATTAAATATGATTATATAATACTCAAAGGGGTAATTTTTCTGTTAAATGAGTAGCTGACTTTTACTTTAAGTGAAATACATTTTGCAGATATTTCTGTACTTGTAATGGAGTACTTTTTATTTATTTACGTTTACTTTTATTGTGGTATTGCCACTTATTACCTTATTACATGAGTAAAGGATCCTAATACTTTTTTCCAGACAGTCAGACTGTAATGTGGAAAATGATTATAGATATAAATGTTTTATATGTACCCAACCACTCTCATCTTTCTTTTGACCTCTTTCCTCACAACCTCTGTAGAACAGAATGAGTGTTTTTGACCGCCTGGCACCTTTGATCCCTCAAGTATCTGCATCCTCCCGACAGACAAAGGAACAGCCATCGGTCTGTTTGTCACCTCCTGTCTCCCTCTCCTCTCCTATCATCAAAAAGAAACCCATTCAAATCCCATCATTTGATGAGAAAGGACTCATCCATGAAAACTCAAAACAGTCAAACACAGACAGGTAAATTAATCTATAGCTTCAGTTCTGTGTGTTATGTAATATAGTAAATAATGCATTAAATAGATTTTGCAGTTCACATTTTTTCTTCCCTCTTTTGGCTCCAGGTCTTTTGTTCCAATTTGTTCCTCCAAGACATTCAGTCGGCCCTCTTGGAGTAAATCATGTCAGTATTCACAGAGAAACCACGCAGAAAGGGCTTCAACCCTCCCAAGAGCCAAGCCCAAAACATATAACTCTCCAACTCTCTCTGCAAAGCCCAGAATCTCCATTTTTCCTGCTCCAGAGCCAAATTCCTCTCCCACTCTCTCCTCTCTGAAACCAAAGCCGAGTGATTCTCTTCATCTCTCCGCCTCACAGCTGAGTGATCTTTCTCCATTACTGCACCAGCCTCAACCGAAGCCAAGTGTATCTCCAACTCTGACTGTCCCAACACCCAGACTGAGTCCATCTCCAACTTCTCTGTGCAGAGGGATGAGTTTGGATAGCCAAGGAGGCAAGCGGCCCTCTCCTGTTGCTAAAGAACGACGTGCTAGATCGATTACTATATCAAATACTAAAGTTGAGCCTGAGTCCAGCAAACAGAGGTCTTCAAATGAGGCAAAGCATGACGTTCTTGACCAAGAAGCTTTACTGGACTTTACTCACCCTGCATTGAGAAGAGTTTGTCCCATAACGTGCAGAGAGTCTCAACATCAGACTTACTCCCAGAGACAAGCAGCCACGTCTCAGAATTCCTGCTTTTTGCAAGGAAAAGTTGGTTTAAGCAAAAAAGAAAATATTGTACATGACAAACCAAAGCCTCCGCCAAGGAATATAGACATTACTGCAATCCCTAAACCAAAGTCAAACATCAAACAGCTGCAGGAACGTCTGCCAAGTGGAGCGACAGGTACACAAACATCTCTTTCAGAGTCTGAAGGGATTAAGATTGTGAACGTTCAGAGAGAATCTCAGTCTGTGTTTGATGGACTGGCTACTAAGTCGAGCCTTCCCAGGAAATGTATAGACTACCTTCAGAGTAGAACTGCAGGATTTGCCTCCAGTGAACAATCGTATGAGCGAATATATTCTGACAGAAGTTTACCAGTGACTCCCAAAATGTCATTTTCCACAGAGCCTCTCTGGAATCAGTCGACTGTCTCACCCAATATTGAGACCAGGAGAAGACGATTTGGTTACAACAATGAAACGAAAGTGGATACAACATTTCTATCAGGACCTAAGGAAGAAAACAATATAAGGACAACTACAGGACATTCATTTCAACCAACCACTGCATCAGAAAACAACAAGTCTCCTCAAAAACACAGATTCTGGTCGAAGGCTCAGAGTCAAACCATCCAGATGGATGTGAAGAGTGCAGTAAGTCAGTCTGAGTGTGTTTCGAAGGATTACAGCTGCCAGTCAAGAGATGCTGATCGAAAAATGGAGGTTCCTCAGCGTGCGCACCGAGTAAATCAACTTAGGACATGTCTGGTGGCACCTCACACACAGGAGGCCTCCCGACATGTTTCTGTTGAGTGCACCACATCAAAACCTGATATTATATCACCCAAACATCAGTTCGATCACAAACAGTCTCCCAGGCAAAGTAAAAGCCACAAAGAGGTGAACCTCAGCGACACCGGACTGAATCAAACAGATATTTTTGCAACGTCTGACCATGATGGAGCACCCACAAAGCTACCAGAATATCCCTCAGAGAAGTGCATTGTAAGCTGGCCTCCGTCTGTGGCACGCTGCCCACTCAACACAAACAGTTTTGGCGCCAGTTCAAAGGGGGGGTTTGACCTGCCATCCCAGCCACAGCACAGAGTGTACCAGAGACCAGACCAGACAACAACAACAGTTACCCTTCCACTACAACAAGCAAATTACTCTACAGCAGACAGAGCATTTATCATGGAGGAAACAGAGGACCCATATTATGTCACCATGTATTACCCGGGTTCAGTGTATGTAGGTGAGTATAGAGACATCCAAACCACTTGGAAGACTTTAATTGAACAAATTGCCCAAAGCATATATGACAAGGACTCTTCCATCTCTTGTTTATTTAAATCTATTTAGAGGAAGAGTTCAATATTTTTCTTTTATCTAAGGGGGGCGGGAGCTCAGGCGAGGGGGTGGTCAAAGAGGATAGCAGAGGGATTTAAGACATCGCTGCTTATCAGTAGAGTAACAGACGTGCTGAAGAGAGACATGACAACGTTGGTTAGCACACTTCTGTCAAAGTGACTAGTCCAGGAGGACATGCCAGCACAGCGCTCCGCAGCGCCAAACAAACACAACAAAAACATGCAGAAAGGGAAGCAAAAGATGGACGAAAGGAGAGCAACTCGGAGATAAAGTGTGAGTACGGTGACACAGCCAAGATTCTCTTACTGTAACACTTATAATAATAATCGTACTAAAATATATCACAGCAACACTTGTAAAATCCTGGAGGATAGAGATTAAAAATAAAATACCACTAAGTATTAAAAAAAGATAATAATAAGGATGAGTTGTATTATGAAGCCTTAGGATAGTGAGTCTTTAAGGCTTACTTTCCTTTAAAGTTCCTTTATAGCTCTGTCATTGAGCTCTGTGTAGTCCAACAAAAGCTGACTGTCTAATGGTTTGATTTAAAAAGCATTCTGAGAGAACTGTCTAGTATTTGTTTTACAGATTTCAACCCCAACTCTAGGCCTACTTAACAGCTTTTTCTGTAGTTTCCAACTGTATCACAGCCTTTATCAGTGAATCGAGTTTTCTCAGTGGTCAACAAGATGCATCTGTTGGTAAACAAGTTTAGAAGCTGCAGTCAGAAGAAATAAACTGCACTTTGTGTTGCAGAAATATGCGAGGTATTCTTGCTTCAGCTCATCAGTCATTATCTGGCGACCCCTCTGATTTATCTTCTTGGGTGGGAACCATTGTTGTAGTGATTCTTTATTATAAGACATGATGAGTTTATGAAATATGAAGCCTGTTACAAATTAAACTACCCACCAGTATGTAAAGCAGTTTAAATGAACTTCACCGGCTCTGATATTAATATGCTGTTTACATAATAATTCATCAGTTCAAATAATCAAATAATATAATATATCCTGCCACTGAATGAGTACTTTTACTTTTAAAACTTTAGGTACCTTTTGTTAATAATATGTAAATTTGTGCATTTACTGAGGTACTTTACCTTAGTACCATTTACGTGTATGTGTCTATTTTGTTCAACTCCACTACCATTTCAGAGAGGAATATTGTACTTTTCATTCCACTACATTTATCTTTATAAGATAAATAAATAAATATGACGTATTTCTGCATATAAAGTAGTTATATGGCTAATAGTAATCCAATTATATAATGCACAGTAATATAACAATGCAAGGGCCATTCTGCCTCGGCAATTTAACTTTTGATAGATTAAGTACATTCTGTTAATCCTGTTTACTTAAGTAAAATAAAGAAGCAGGACTTACACTTGTAAAGGAGGTATAATTTACACTGAAGTACTGTTACTTCTACTTAAGTAAAGGATCTCAGTTCATCTTCCACCAGCACATTTCACCGTACAGGAGAATTGTTACAGTTTATTCTACTCAGACTGTACGTATTTGTATATATATTGTATAACGTCAATCTGAAATGTCTCCTAAAAATAGACAGTATCAGTGACAGAAGACGCTGTACCGAAAAACCTCCCTTTGAGGTGGTTACACTGCGCATGCGTGCTGCATCTCCTCCTCCTGTCGCCTTGGCAACGGTGAAGGGGGGCTCACGGCCAGAGGAGAGGTACCCGGCTGATCACATGACCGCTGCTCATCTTATTATCTCCTGTTTGTGATATACATCGTCTGTTCGTGCACAACCACAGTACGTCGGACCGTCTCCTCCTCGGGCTGATTCGCGGGCTCCGTTGAACGGGAATCGGTAAGTGTGACGCCCCACCGGCGGTTGTTCGGTAGCTAGCAGCTAACACGGAGCTGCCGCCGCTAGCTGTTCGCGGTGTTATCCGGACAATGGGGTCGACGGGTCCGCTGTGGTGGAGATACCCCCATGTGTCCTGCTCCAACAGACACACTGCGCGGTTAACGCAAACGTGGGGGCGTAATGTGTGGCACAGATGACGGTTAATAACGGTCAGTGACGGCTAACGGCGGTTAATAACGGTTAATGGAGGAGTAAACGGGTCGGAGCATCATCAGCTGTGTGCGCGTTGTGTTCTTCACCTGAGGTTTACCTGCTCACAATTAATGCTGGAGGGGATTTATTTAGCAAATCTGGTGTGTGTTGTGATGGCAAGGAGGAGCAGGGGGAGCAGGAGGAGCAGGGGGAGAGGGGAGAGGGGAGAGGGGGAGCATGAGGAGCAGGGGGAGCAGGAGGAGAGGGGAGAGGGGAGAGGGGGAGCATGATGACTCCTGAGTGTTGTGAATCAAAGTGACAGCCACTGCCTCGGTGTCCTGTGTGTCTGTGGCTGCACTGACTTAAAGCAGCCTGCTCCATGTGTGCACCCTGGAGGCCTGAGCTGATCAACATGTTGGCTCCATCTCCTGTTTCTGTTACTGTTTCT